GATTAATTAATTAATCAATAACTTGCATCCTTAATTTATACAGGAACGAAATTAATTTATATCTACCGGTACTCATATTTATGTAATTAAGAGGTTTAATGATTTGGCCAATTAATCATTAATCAAAAAAATAATCGACAGATTATTCGATTATTAAAATAATCGTTAGTTGCAGCCCTATGCTCCGTACACCAGTAGTTTCTTTCTTATTCAGGACATTCCAGATTGTTGTGCTCGCTATGCCCAATGTTTGTCCAATGGCTGATTGATTTTCATTCTTTTCTCAGCTTCAAATCTAAATACCAGGAAATAAAAGATGACATTCTGAACTCTTGTCTCCTGTTCGTCTTTTGATCTTAAAACCAAATGTCTTCAGTGAACAAAAATAAGAGAAATTGACTTGCTGTTCCAATACTTTTGGAGGAGACTATAGAAGCCAAAATGTGAAGGTTCACCATCTACACCTTTTCTCTGGGCTTTATTTTGTGTTCTCAGATTCAAGAATCGTTTAGATTGATTGATTTATATCAGTCCTTTTTTAATTTTGAAAGAAAATGTAATTAATGACTAAAAGAATTAAACTGAATTAATGTATCAAAATGTAAGTGTCTCTCTCACTGCTCCAGGTCTTCTGGTTTCTCTTAAATCCCCCCACAGAGCTCATCCACACCCACTGACTTCTACTGTATCTGAGACCAGATGTTTCTCTTCAAACTGGAAATGAAGGGATCTTCAACTTGACAAATCTCCTACACAAAAAATCGTAGAAACAAAAATGTGACAACCAGCTGTTTTTACCAGTTTTCACACAGCAACTGTCAGAGTGTTTCTTTCTCCTAAAGATATTGTCAAGACAAGATAGGCTGTGAGGTGTTTCCTTTCACCACCTCTCACTCCTCCTTGTTCACTCTTTACTTTCTGCAGCCAAGTATAAAGATCTTGACCAGAGTGAAATATGTTGAATGACGTGTTTGAACCATTGTTGTGAACCAGAGCATGAATGTCTCAGCAGCTGACTGTCAGCTTGGAGGAGAAAATCCCAAAGTCTTGTTCAAAGCCAGATGCTTTCTTTGACCATTCCCTTCCACCTTGACTGTAAGAACTCTGTAAGAGAGAAAACTCACATCCAGCTAGTGTTTTGTGTTCCACGTTGTCTTCTTGCAGCTCCTCGTGAGACAGAAACACCCTGAGCCTCTTCAAAGACACGCTGGCCTGAAGGAAGACAAAAACCCGACCAGAGTCAATGGCTAAAAAACAATGTGCTTCTCATGCTTACATTTTTATTACAAAACTAGCAGACACTAAAAATACAACAAAGAACCAACAAACAACAACAACAACAAAGCATACTTTACACTAGCTTGTATAAACTCTGTGTACAGAAACACTGCAGTACAAAAATTTAACTGTTTATTGAAAAAAGAAAAAAAGATAAAAACAAGTTAATAAAAGGGACAGACTGTGTTCTTATCTCTGCAGTTATACTACAGAGCAGCTGGACCACTACTTCCACCCCCCTGGTTTCATATGTTCGGTCYGCAAAGCGAGAACCAGAGATTCATTCATTCAGAGACATTCATTGCTTATAACAACAAAACCAGTTCATTCACGATTTTGGGTTTAACTTGTGGTTTTGTTGGCTTCCACGACAATTCAAGAAAAGTGAGAAATGCTTTAGAAACATTTTGCCTGGAACAAGAAGTAGTAAAGGCATGTCCATGCCTTTACTACGCACTGCATTTTACACACTAATTTTGTCACCCTGTACTGATTGTCTGTAAATTACATAAAATGTTCTTATTTGCATCATGAGAACTGTTTTTTTTAAATCAAAAACTCAGCAGCTAGTTTTTTGAGCAGCTCCCTCCTCCTCTTTCCCATTGTCAGGCTTCACACACACACACACGCACACAACCCTGCTCCGTCATTAACAGCTTGGTCCGAGAGGAGTGCACACCCGCACCTCCCCCCACCCCCCGCTCCTTCATTGTATTGCGTGATTGTTAATATAATAAATGAAAGTTCAATCCCACCGTAATTTTTATTTCTTGGGGAGAGGGGAGGGGGGTCGCAGCATGCACTCACCATCTGAGTATATTTAATATTTTATCCAAAAGCCACACACAAATATCTGCCTTTTAGTCCAACATTATGCACAGTTTTATTTTTTACCTTTRTTTCTTTTGTATATTTCTGATTAAACCTGTTTTCCACATCTTATAACTGAGAATAACACTCAGGTGGGGAGGAGGTCAGCTGTGTTCTCTGTGTGATCTCCATCTTCAGTCCATCTCAGACCCCCAGTGGCAACTCTTAACCACTGAAGAGTCCTCTGGAGCAGTCTGAACTTTTCAGGAGAGTAAGAGTGATTCTTAGACTTAAGAATTTTGATAACTGGCACTTACACTTAAGTCTGAGAGTAGGAGCAAATCTAAGAAATTTCAGAAAAATCTACTCTAAGAAGTTTYATAAATACGGGCCCTGGGCTAAGACTGACCACCAAAGCCAGGTCGTCAAGACCACTGTGAGTCAAACAGCTTCCAGCAATAAACAAAAACCCAAATCTGTGCCTGGTGAGTGAAATTGTAAATGTGGTTTGTCCCAATTTCACTTTTTAATCATGCAGTTCTTTACTTTTACTAAATTAAAGCCTACAGTAATGGTGTTAGGATCAGCACTAGCTACTGTTAGCCTGGATGTTAGCATGTTATTAGCAGCTACGTCTCAGTTTTAAAGAAATATTAAACCTACGGTTAGTAGCCACATGCTGGTAAAACTATATAAATGGCTTAATTTAACAGTCCTAATTCTGAGCTGGAATGATAATCCTTTTCCCAAATACATGCTAAAACATTTTGTCTACATGGCAGGATTAAAAGATGAGGAGATTAACCTTCAGGGGATATATGTGTAGGGGGAATGGTGGGTGGGTGGGGAGAGGCTAATCTCAATACTTTTATAAAATTATTACAATTCTGGGGGACTTCGGAGCATTTTACTTCCAGAACTACTGACCTTTATGATTTTGCATGTGCGTGTCTTTGGGAAAGACAAAGTAGCTGATAAAGTCAATATAGCTAACATCGGGACATAGCTTCATGTCATCTACCCAGTCTGTGAGCAGTGACAGCTCAGCCACTGTTAAAGAATTGTCCTCGTCGCTTTCTGAAACATCCTTACAGTATTTACACCTCTGATGTGCTGTCATTTACGCCAAAGCTTCAGATAAATACTTTGATAAACAGTGAAGGTGTATCCCCATATTTGTAAACAAYAGCCAAGCAGAAATATAAAACCTACTTCTGCTATGAATTATGGGTAGTGGCGCAAATTCAGGAATACTGAGCATATAGTCAGGGAACAGGATCGTTTTCATTTTAAGTCATTTTTTTCATTATTTTATTTGTTTTTACTGTGTGGACTGGGTATAAAACAGATTACCTGTGTCAACATTTACCCCCTCAACTGGTCCTGGAAGAGGGGCAGTGAACTTGCCCTGAAGTGCGCAACATGCTGAATCTGAACTGCTGAAATCGGGCTCAACTGTCACYGTTTTATAACAAAAATTGTTCATTCTGTTCGCGTTGTCGACATTTCGGCACCTTCTTGTCACAACCCACGGGCAGAATTTTTTACCCCCCTCCACATAAGAACTCACAAGAACTTATTGTGTGATTGGTCAGAAGTTTGTGGGAGTATTTGTTTGTGCTGAAAGCGCTCAGACGCTACATTTTGCTTCAACCACTCGCTTTAAAAAAAAGGAAAGAAAAAGAACGACTCACTTCCAGAAGCCGACAGTTGTACCAGGAAGCAGACTTTTATAAAGTCAAACGGTCAAAAACTTGTGAATAGAGATAAAACAGATGTTGTGCACAGAGGAATCTGTCAAATAAAAACCGTGGAGCTTTAACCTCGACAGATTTGTGGACAAATAACGTCAGGTGACAGATCTGACTTTTTTTCCCCACATTGTAGACTCCAGCGGGAAGAAACCCCATGTAACGTATGCTGCAGCGAGAGGGATTTTCCAGGAGCTTGGCATGGGGTGTCTGAGGGTCTACAAAAGGTGTGTGAGCAAATGAACGCCAAACAACCACCATCAACTGTTCAGCTGCCAAGCGACCACACTGAAACTTTGGATGTTGGGGAAGCATTAAACATTTTTGAATCTCCATTTTAACATAATAACCAACACACTTGAGTCAACATCTGTAAATTGGACAGTTAGAGCTATATTGGGGTTTTAAAAGTTTGGTTGGCAGCAAAAAACAAAGTTGATTAAAAAGTTAGAAATGTAGATCTAATGACATTTTAAATCAAAGCTTCAATAAAATCACTTCAGTGAGTCATGAGATATTTTGCTAACAAACAGACACAGAAACAATGACAGTAATTACATTATGAGCAATAATGATCTGCTTATTATGGGAYGGAAGCACACCAACCTGCACCATACTGCTGATAACCATTGGCAGCATGTTTAGAGGAAAACGCAGAATGTTGAAGAGAGCTAGTGACACAAAGGCCTTCTGGGCATCTAGCACATTCTGCTCATCGATCAGCACGTACACAGAGAAGGTGGACAGGGCAACCTGCACCAGGGGAGAGGACACACCTTGGATTAATTATAACAATGTTTTTATACATGTCAGCTGTACCCGGTGTGTCTGAGCAAGCTGAACAAAGTAAGAACTCCTGTTGTCCCCTGTGCTGCAGGCCTGTCCCTGTGCGTTTGGACTCACCAGGAAAGGTGCACAGACCCAGGTGAAGGTGGACATCGCACCCAGATATGCAGCCTTCTTCAGGACTTGCAGCTCACCCTCCCTGATTTCGGACACCTTGCCCTGGAAGGCCAGCTCCCAGGCGTAGAGCTTCAGCACTTTGATACCGTTCAGCATCTCGTTCATCAGCTTAATGCGATTATCTTTACTCTTCATCTGAGCCACCTGCTCCACATACGTGCAGAGATTATACAGGGTTAACAGAGACTCTCCAGTGACACAAACAGAGGAACAGGACAGGAACTGGTGTGACACTGTACCTGGTAGGTTTTAGTTTTCATGGCAATCACAGCATTAATAGGAACCATCAAAACCATAACAGCCACTCCAGCCAGCACAGACGGACCCAGGTTCTGCTCAGAAACAGACAAACAGAAAYCAGACTTCACTACAGCTCTTCATTGTAGCTGTTAAAGTCTTCAGGATTTATTTATTGTGTGAATGMTGAGTCAGCACATTAATGTCCTGTTTGGGTACATGCAGTAAATGTCATGTTAATTTTAGCGTTGGGCAAAATTWGATTTTGTTCAACAGATTTTAGGCTTTACATCTGCTTTGCTACTTAGCCACTGTTTTGCTAGCTTTAGCATTTGGCATTTTTTAGCTCTGACATATGTTTTGCTAATTTTCGCTACTGTTCTGCTGCTATTAATGTTAACTATTCAGTTTTTAGCTTCGTCAGGAAATCTCAGTGAAGTCATTTGGGACTGGTTTTCACAGAAAGTATCTATTTTCTAGTAAAAGTAGCTAAAGTACAGCTGAACTACCTGCCACAGGAAGTAGAGGGCCAGCACCACCTGCAGAGGAGCAGACCAAATCATGTTGATGTAAGTAATGAGGTCCATGAAGCGCTGAGCGTCCACTGACATCAGGTTAACGATCTCTCCCACTGTTGAGGTGCGGCGTGCTGCACTGCTGATGACCAAGGCCTGAAAGAGCAGATCCAGGGAGAGAAAAGTCCAAATTCAAATGTTGACTTTGTTCTTTTAGGATGTACTTTTTTCCCCACACGCTGATCAACAGAGAAGAAACGAACCTTCCTGTAGACGGCTCCAATGATGGCGGTGCGCAGACGCATGCCTGAGACGAAGCAGACGTGAAAATACTTCTGCAGAATCAGAGACTGGACGCAGTTACAAATGAAAAGCAGAGCTGTGTAGAAGAAGCCCTGCCAGGAAGGGGCACTGGAGTCAGTCACAAAGTGGATAAGTAATCTGTGTAGAAAAAAGGAAATGTTTAAAATCAGATGATATTTACCATCATCAGTCATCATGTACCTAACTAATCAGTTATCCTGCTGAGAATGAAGCAGATGGTACTACTAGCCGACTGTAGCCTACAATCAAGTTCTTATGCCAAATAATGCCCTATAATATACAGTATTAATTTAAAATGCCTGCTGTTACCTTTCAGTCTACATGTTCTAAATTTAGATTATCTACTTATTTTATAATATAACACAATGCATTTTTGCCTGAGTTGAGAGCTCAACAGTCTGATCGAGAAGCTTCCTCACCGGAGGATTTCAGGCCCAACAAACATGAGAATGTCCTGGATGATCTTGTAAAGACAGGAGATGAGAAAGTAGGGACCGAAGGTCAGGCACAGGGCCCAGAGCAGGGACGGATCTTTGGTTTTCTTGGGAGACTTCACAATCAAGATTTCAGCCTCTTCCACGGCCTCGGCCTCTTTGTTCTCTCCATGGGCGGTCCTCTTAGGGGAGTACAAGGTTTTCTGCTCTGGCCTGGAGGATAAAGAAGAGGAGGACAAAAAGATTTTTTAAAAACATCTTTATAAGAATGGATTGGTTTTTAAGAGAATCAGAAATGATGCGTGGAATATTTCTGTGAATGCCAAGTCAGCTTCTACACTAGTGTTTTCTTGTTTGTTTTTAATATTTTCAAGTGGGATACATGGCTTAGAGATAAAACTTCATTAGTCTAACTACAGTACTGGACAGAAACCTGTGATTGTTTTTATTCTCTTCTATTAAATACAAATAATATTTACGAAGGGCTTTCTTAGTAGTTATCAGGCTGGCTCTCAAAGTAAAATAAAAATTTTCCAAGTGGAGCGCCATTTTCTTTCCCATTTTCTAGATGTCTGTTTCAAAGAACATGTCCCTGTTTTAAACCAGAGTCAGTTCCTTCAAAATGATKACTTTCTTTTTCAGAGGAGCAATTTCATCAAGTGATGTTTGCATTAAAGTTGTAATATCATCAAGATCATCTAAGTTGCAGCTCTCTGTTGCATTACTCTGCTGGACAGAGGAAAATAACAATAGAAGAGATTCTCTAAATTTGGTTACAGTGTTCTCTAACAAACATCTAATGTCACTCAGCCAGCYTGGAGTCTGGCTGCTGGAGGACCACTAACAGGATCTACACTCAGTAACTCCAAGCTACAAAAGGGTCATGGCTAGATGGTGGCTTCTCTATAACGCTGAGTCAGTCTCTCCTTTAAAGCTATCATGGGACAACATTTATTACAAACCACTGTCACTGAAGGAGGCTGAGGAATGACTAATCATCTGACACCAAGAGGAAGTGAGGATAGAAGAAGGTGGGAGAACCAGAAGTTAAGCTAACACAAGCAACAGTCTGCAGAGCCTAAACACAGGTAAAAATAAGAAGTATATAAAATACAAAAAGTGCCACAAGCACAGTGCAATATTTGAAAATAGTACATAAAAGTGCTTGTGCTTAAAGACTGTATAAGCCATAAAATCCAGTAAATTGAAAGATTTAGCGAGCAAACAAATACCAGCAAGGAAGTCAGGAAGTGACCAAACATAAGTTGCTGTAAACATCAGCCTATTTCTCCTCAACATCTTACAGTTTACTGTTGAAATAACAGCACTTTAGGAGATTCCTCATTTAACACTGAACATCCAAGATGCTATCAAACCGAGCTTCAGAGGGTCCCATCTCCTGGCCTTACAGTTCACCGTACAGGTTCTGGACAAGGTTTTTTGAAGTAAGTTCTTATAAATGGGACTGATGTAGGTCCTGATCCTGTCCTCGTTATCTTTGGGATAGCTCCCTCAGTTGAACAACTTGTAGCTTTTTTAAACACGTTTATTTTTATGCAGTGTGAGTCAGAATACCCCTCCATTTACAGAATTCAGAGAAATTGCCCATGAGAGAAGCTGAAATATGACTGTCAGAAGGATAAATTCATTCAAACATGGACACTTTTAATAAAATTAATTGAGAAACTAACCTTTGTTTCACAACATTAACATCAGGTAAAACAACTATCTTGATGTGTGAGAAGTCCAGCTGAACTGGAGGTTTTTCTGTTTCATAAATGTTCTGACCTGCGTGTGTTAGTGAGAGGACACAAATAAAAGTTCATTAAATCCATTCTTTAGACTAGTGTTTCTCAACGGGGGCGTTGTGACGGTGCCAGGGGGCGTTGGCAGCAATATTTACAAAAAGGGGTGCTGTAATACGTTTGGGGGTGTTTGCTTGAAGGGAAAATTTTCACCAAAGATTTCCAAAAACAGCAGTTTAAACTTTGAACTGCTTGTGAACAATGGGGGTCTGTAACATTAAAACATACATGGCACTGCAACTGTATCGTGTTTCTCTTCTCATCAGTTTCTGTTGGCTTCATGTTGCGCAGCTGTGTGCTGCCTTCAGGAGAACAGGATGTCAGAGTATCTATAAAATTTCCCCCACATGGCATTTACTAATCAGGAAAATAAACGGGTTGTTTCATGGTAACCTGTGGAAGAGTTTATTTATCTGAAATTGGATAATTGTGATACAATCTGTTTATGTACTCTCTGTCCCCCTCCCTTATTTCAACTTTTACAACTGTTTAATCTGCTATTAAGATGCGGTAACGCGTTGTTCCGAGCCATCTTTAAACGCACCATGAGACAACGCGGGTTTACACCTGTGGATCACCGAGGGCTGCAGAGCTGCATGGTGTGGGGCAGACACAGCGGCRGACTGGCTATCTGTCTGTGAGTTCTGGACGATCACAGGATGGCCGGTGTTGTGTCAGGTCAGGCGGCCGTAAAATGCTGTTGGTACCGACGCAGCCGCTTTCAAGCTGGTGAAACAACGTTCAATGTGAGCGGCACATTAGCAGCAGCTCTGCCTACACACGGTCCTTCATCCCAGACTTGGTTTATGAGTTAAAATGACTTAATAATGGCCTGATTTTTATGAAAAACTGCTWATAAAATAATCTTTTAGGAWCTTATTAGTTTATTTGTAGGTTGCATGATATCATGTCAGTTTTGGTTATGAATAGGCCCATCAGTAAATTTAGGTGATTATCATAATTACACCTGTTTATTGTGTAAAATGATWAATGTTCATATTTTAAACATGTAGTTGAGTGTCAGCACTGCTTGGCACAATGTCATGTGTTACAAATAAAACTAAATCAAGAATAKAAAAAAGTTATATGTAACTATMAACCTGTTTGATAAATTATCACATTAATTTCCTGATCTCRGCCAGCAGTGAGTTTAAAACCAGGATGATTCATACATGAACTAGTTGATGAACCTGTCTCTAAAATAGTTATGGAATCACGTGTTTATTTATGTAGGTAAAAATATGTTTAGCAACTTGTTAAAATACTCCAGAATGCAGGAAACAGCATCTACTTTCATCAAAATTTCCTGGGGGAGAACCCCCAGAACCCCCACCAGTGTGCCCTTCACACACAGTGCTTCTGATGGCCATGAGYAGCAGCAAAGAGGAGTATAGTAGGATCACTTGTGTAAAAGAACTAAAGTCTGTCTCCTGATGTCTGTGTGTGTTGTGTGTTTTCAACTACTAGGTTTGATTGAATGCAAGAAGATGATAAAAAAACTCAATAGACCTCTGAAAAATTTGTCCCCCTCACTTCTGAGATGATTATGACCTTGTTAATATGCCTATATGTCTATGAATGAAAGACAATGTAAAAACACAATCAAGCATAAAAGAGGGTTATTTTAATGTAAAATTACTCAAAACAATATTCAAACCAAACTCTATTAAAAAAATCTGCTACAATAATAATTGTACATATTTTTAGTACGAGCAAGCATATTAAAATAATGCATCAAGCGAATAATAAAACTATAATAATAAAATATCCTTTTTAATGCAGGTAGTCTTTAGTAGAAAACAGAACTGAATATCTGAATATTAGTATCTTAGCTTCTTCATCATCAGTGGCTTTTTTTAATAAGAGAAAAAGAAAGAGAAAGAAAAAAGTGAAATGTAATGAGAAAGAGTGAAAGAGAGATTGAAGAAATTTTGTAACTGATTAATTGAATATTAGATTCAGTTTTGTATTTTATACTTTCTGATCATTTCAGTCTGTAAGGTTGAAGCTGACAAAGTGTTGGTGTGTTATCATGTGTTCTTTCTCTTAGACTAAACAAAACTGAGTGAYGYTCTGACGTCWGACGTAAAAGGTAACACCTCTGGGGTGTAACCAGGAAGGGATGAACATTATAAGCTGAATTCATTATTATTGTAGGAAGAAGTTGTCAGTGTTTCGCAGAGTGTCTGCTCAGAGCAGAACTCCCGTGTTTGTTTTGTTTCAGCCCAAGGTTGTGCGCTGAGGCCTGTGCTGCTGTGAGCTGAATGAACCTGATTGGAGTCAGAAGATCAAAAATAAAGTTTTAACAAGAAATCCAGCTGAATCCTGTTTATTCGGACATACCATTTTGAACAATGCATATTTTYCCAACAAGAAGATATGTGAAATATATGTAGAGAAAACACAAGACATCACACCCGACATCTTGGCTCCACACCTACAATTGYACATATTTTTAGTACGAGCAAGCATATTAAAATAATGCATCAAGCGAATAATAAAACTATAATAATAAAATATCCTTTTTAATGCAGGTAGTCTATGACGTTTTTAATTTGGGGTGGGGTGGGGGGCGTTAGAGGTCCTCAATCATGGCTAGGGGGGGCGCTGGCCCAAAAAAGGTTGAGAACCTCTGCTTTAGACCTTGGGGGATCACTTGTTCTTGTTTGCTTTGGTTTTCATTACAAGGTCCCACAGGACCATTGGATCAGCACTTTGTTTTCCACTTTGATGCAGGAGCCTTTTGTAGCATTGAAGTCTCTCATGGGAGTGACAATCCCCGAGTTCACAAAGGTCTGCAAAATCTCATCTGTGCCAGTCCTTTAAAGGCATTAGCGTACTCGCTATGATCCATTTCGTTGTGTTTTGGACCGGAGCAAATCACTTCCTGCCCCCCATCTAAATTTTTGCGCGTCATCCAGGTCACATGACTGGAACCCAGCAACACATGACCAAACCAGCAGAGAGGTCTCTGCCTGAGGAGAGTGAAACGTAAACCCGTCACTCTTCAACCCTTTGAAATAGCAGTTTTTCCAGTTCAGGTGAATTCACGGACATTATGATGTTCATGAGCTTCATGACGTTGCATCATTTTACTTCAACCACTCGGTAAAAAAAAAAAATAATAACTGGCTCCCAGAGCCGACTGTTACCAGGAAGCAGAGTTTTATAAAGATTGTCAAACCGTGAAAAACTCATGAATGGAGATAAAACAGACGCTGTGCACGGAGGAATCTGACTGATAAAAACTGTGGTGCTTTAACTGCAACAAATTGTGCATAAATAACGTTGGGTGACGGGTCACAGTCTATTTTTTCTGCATTGTCGACTCTAGCGGGAAGAAACCCCAAGAAGAGATGCATGCTGCAGTGGGAGGGGTTTCCCAGGAACTCTGCACGGTGCGTCTCCGGGGTCTATGAAAGGTGTGTGCGAAAACAAATGCCGAACAATCACATGACTGCACATTGACTGTTTGGCTTCGAAAGGAGTGTCCCAGGCTTTGTTGTACCCTGTTTTTTTTTACAACACTAAACATATCATGACTTTCTCCTGACCTCTTGACTTTTTGGCACTCTGAGTTCCAGCGACGAGTCAGTTGTGGCACCACTTTGTGTGAACAGTCATCAGGATTCAAAGACCACAAATCTTTTTCCTCTAGAGGGCGTCTGTATCCAGTCACCATCATTCTGACAGARGGAAAAAAATAAGTCTGGGGATAAAACATAGAAACACAAACAAAACAGTACGACTGCACCTTGACACAATTAAAGACCTAGTAACCCTCAAAGGACAGCATGTTGCCCTGCTCTCAAGCTTTAGCCACATACAGTTAGGTCCATATCTAATGGACACTGATATAAAGTTAGATTTTTTTCTTTTACCTTTTTACTGAAACATAT